CTGGTGTCGATGCCGGGAGACCATGGGGAAAGTAGAGCTTTCCAGGGCCTTCCGCTGTCGGAACTTGACGCACGCTTATTTGTAGGCGTGTCATGTACCTTTCTGGCTGTCTGAACAAGCGATCTCGTTGTCCCGATCTAAGACCTAGGCGTTTTATAGTATCTTTCGGGTCCTCCGCCGCCCGAAGGGCTAGAGGGTGCCAGGCATCCATTCTTCGCATTCGAGCTGCAGACCGCAACATCTTTTGTTGGAGAATTATTGATGCCGGGGGAATTCCCGCTTCACGATGAAGAGCGCTATTGGGAGTGGTACGCCACGCTGGGAGTGCTACTCGTATAGCTTTCGTGATAGTTTTGTCCAGCAGAGATGTGTGCCACCCTACTCCAGTGCCGACTTCTTTATCTCGGATGGTGGTTATTCGAGAAAGACCCGGCCACCACGCTTCTGCCCCATAGAGAGCTGTGTTCAGAACGCATGCCTGTACCGCACGAATTAGAGGTCCGGGTGCTGCCCCGCGCTGAACTCCGTTTATATGTCGTAAAAAGTGGACTAGACGATTAGCTTTTCCAGTCCATTCCTGTACATGCTGCTTGAAGTTCAGCTGAGTGTCAAGCCAGACTCCTAACCACCGGATATGAGGCGACGGTTCGATCCGGCGATCTTTCACCAAGATGGAGAGGTTGGCTGTGTTGATTTTCTTCCTAGGACCTCCTCCGGTCACTAGAAGTTCCGACTTTGCCGGGTCAAATTCGATCCTGTGTTCTCTGGCGAGAAGGACGAGGCTGTCGAGGTCTTCTTGGACTGCTGCGATAGCTTCGGCCGCGGTGCTTCCAACTCTAATGATGGCTAGATCATCGGCATAGCCAAACCTGCTCGTTAGTCCATGGTCCTTAAAAAGCACAGCGATATAGAGCATGAAAAGAAGTGGTGACAGTGGCGAGCCCTGAGGTACTCCACATTCCAGCATCTTCTCGTCTGTGGTTCCACCACGGTATTTCACCTGGACTTTTCGTTGGCAGAGAAAGGTCTGAATGAACCGGCACAGAGATAGTGGCCAGCCTTGTTCTCGAAGGCGTTGGAGTAGTCGGTTGTGAAGGACTGCATCAAACGCACCTTGGATGTCTAGTGTGACCATAGCCGCACATTTTCCGCTTCTCATGGCCGCCTCAGCATCATGGATTACACAGGATGCAAGGTCGACCGCAGATCGTCCTGGTACTGAGCCGAATAATTGCGGATGAACAACTTGGTGACTTATCGTCAGCCATGCCATTCTCTTGCCAACTAGACGCTCAAGTCCTTTACCTAAGCTCGACAGCAGCGAGATTGGTCGCCAGCCCTTGGCAGTTGATAGATTTCGTCCCGGTTTGGGAAGAAGCACAACATCTGCCACCCTAAATGCCGTCGGAAAGTGGCCGATTTTTAGACAGGCCTGGTAGAGATCCTTGACCAGAGGCCCGAGGTGGTACCAACAGGATTTCAGTAAACGTACTGTTATTTTGTCCGCTCCCGGTGCCGTATCATTGACAGAGATGGTAGCGTTTGTCACATCTTCCAGTGATATTTCCGTATCCCATGGAATGCGCACCTCCTGTCCATTCTCCCAGGTTGGGATGTCGTTCTCGCTGCTAAATCTTGCCAAGAGAATGTCTCGTAGCGCACTAGCCCGCTCTCGCGGGTCTGAAAGCCACCGATTTTCCTCAATCTGCAAAGGAGGGGGCTCAGCTGCTGGTCGAGGCTTAGCCCATCTCATGAGCTTGAATACCTGTGCGTCAGTTGTAACTGCCTCCACTTGCCTCTTCCAGTACTCTCGCTTGGCTTTTCGCACAACGGCTCTAAAGCTTTTACGCGCCTGTCTTACAAGGTCCGGATTTTCTCTCGCTGCCTTGTAATCCTGCCACTTGATGCGACATTCATCGTTCCACCAGGGCCCGGTTTTTCCGCTTTCAATGGCTGGGACTTTCCCCGCAATCTTCAGCGCGTCTGCAAGAGCCTGCAGGAGATTAGCTGTGAATTTTTCGATGTCCATGACACTGTCCAGAGGGGCAGCTTTGGTCCATTGGCTGACACATCGGTTGAATTCCTTTAGGTTCTCATCGCTGACACGAGTGTTCCTTACAATTCCAGATAGGTCTGATACTGTAGGGTTTAAGACTGTACCCTCGATGGTCGAGTGATCTGAGGTACAGTGATACTGCTTGGAGACTGATGCTGTTGCAGCTGTGTTGCTCCACGTTAAGTCCAGCACGTTCCCATCCCTATGCGTTGGCTCTCCGACAATGCTAACTAGATCCATATCGTGAGCTGTTGCCCATTCCATGATCTGGCCTCCATTGCCGTACTGAATTGTCGTTTGCGGCTGCCAATGCTGTGACACAGAATTGAAATCGCCACCAACAACCACGAGTCCTCTGACTACCCACCGAAGTAAGGGCTCCAAGGTTCCACTGGTGCCCGGGGCACGATACACGTTGACGAAAGTCAGGCTGCCCATCTTTACAAAACAGTAGTCAGATGTCGGGCCTGATGACGGCGGAAAAAATTGAGTCGCACCAATGCCTTTGCGTGTGAAAGTACTCACGCGGGGCCGGACGTCTGTTCCTCCAAACGGTATGTGGCTATTGTATCCAGGGTGACTTTTGGTGATAAAACCCCCCTCTTTCTTCCTTGTCCATGGTTCCTGTACCATGACTACATGTGCACCGGCGTCCCATGCCTGCTGCAATGCTATATCTGTATTCTCCCCACCCCTTCCTACATTCACTTGGTGAAAGTGGAGAGTGTTATGTTTATCTTTTGGTACTTTTGTTGAGGGGTTCCCTAACATTAACACGTCATTGTTGAATCCGGGGTAATGACAGTTTCAACTGCCTTGCCCTTCCTTTCCGAATACGCTAGAGCAGCGTGATAATCACGATGCCCGCGTTCTCTGATGATGTGTAGTTCTGCAGGGGTACGGGACAGAATTATCCCGTTTTGTCTTCTTGGTCGGGCCATGCAGCTACTCTCATGTGAGTGGTGAGGTCCGGCACAATTTGAGCACTTTGGCACCTTGGCCTGGCAATCTGATGTCTCATGGGTTCCCCCACATCGTCCACATCGTTGGCTCCGGGTACAGGAACGCGTAGTGTGGAATCCCCAGCAACGTTGGCATTGCTCGATTGGTCGTCGGCGCGAGAAGGGAATTGCCGGTCCGCTCTCGTCAAAAAGACGGAACTTTGTGTTTGCTGGTTTTTGTTGGAAATGAATGATCCAGCTCGTTGAGTACTGACCAAGCTTTGTTTCTGTGGGCCGTACCTGGATTGGTGTGGCGCCACATACTGCCTGGCACTCGTTCTTCACCATTTCAATGGTGACTGGCATGCTGCCTTCAAGTGTCCTGATATACAATGGCACATGTGGTACCATCAGAGATGTCCATTTTGAGGCTGCCTCAATCACTGTGTTGTCTTCCTGTAGGGAAGGTGCACTTCTGATGATTGTGTCTCTCAATGCGTCTGACGCACATTCGAGAGCGATCCCCGACCTGACTGGGTACATCGAGGTGATAGCTGAGGCTGCTATCCCAGCCTTGTCGGTTATTATCTTTTTGATTGTGACTGGTGATAATTTGTGCCAGTGGTGATCTCTACCCAAACGAAGGAACAGGCGTTTGTCTTCCTTGGGTGTTGTCTGTGCCTTAGGGCGGCTTATCGGAGCCGGTCTTCTCGGAACTTGCGCACTGGGCGGTGTTGGTAACTTGGCTGCTTTGCGAGCAACTGTAACCCAAGGCGAGCTTTTTTCTTGCGGCTTTGGAGGTAGGCCGTGGCTGTTGTTCTCAACAACAATGTGGTTCCTAGGCGCGACTGGTTTGGGAGTGCTTGCCATGGCGGGGGAGTTCTTACTTGGACTATTGATTACTTCTGCCTGATCTACTGCAAAGGCAGTGATGACAGGCGTGATCTTGTTCATCAGAGTCGCGACGACTGCTGCTGCTTGCTTCTCTCCTTTGCTCTTGGCCCAGGAGTCGATTAGTTCAAGAAATTCCTGGGCTATGCCCAATCTTTCTTTTCTTTCTTGTTCTGCTTTTTGCATTGCATTAACAATGCCTAGCAGGCTTGGGTGGAGTTGCCCCCCTGGATTCGGGGGCGTTGTCGATGACGATGCAACGGCTGGGGCCATTGCACCAGCCGGAAGTTCTTGTAAGAAGTGTTGTGGATAATATGATGTGGGATCTATGCTTGATGTTGTGTTTTTTGCGGGGGAGGGTTTGTGTTGTTGTGCAATCATTTTTGAAATAAATGTGTATTTTTAGATAATACCAATTGATTTTTTTTAATTTTTAATTTTGAATATAAACCGATTTACAATTCCTTTGGTGTTAAAAACTTTCCCCATAATTTAGACTTTCACGGAATATCATTGGATAGTACCCCTTGCATCCTTGACTAGTCGATGACTAGACATGGGTCTGCATGAACACCAAACCAATCAAATCAATAATTACAGGGATCTAATCCCAGTCGCTTAAACAATTATACAATTTCCATCCATAAGAGACTGTAGTTTGAGAACTTTCCTCCAGGGTAGCTAAAACAAGCAACTTAGTCTTCATTCAAGAGAGGTCATTCTCCGCTTCACTCTTTGATATGTTCGGCCCAGTAACCCATCTGTGATCACAAGCAGCTAGCTCCCACAAATTGTATGTTCACCCGAATCATAGACCTATCATAACAGATCACACTATGTAACTCTCTTTCTAACCTGTTGCAAATTGACTGACAATCCTTACATAGGAACTCAAATTAAGTCTTAAATTTGTTCTATCAATTGGAGCATGACCTAGCCTCAAAACTTATCCCTCTCTTAATTCGCAATCATAATAAAATTTTCAGGGCCGCGAAAGCCGAATTATTCGCTACGGGCTTAAGCCTTGTTATCGCGGAAGATTTCAGGCTACCGTGTCTACTACTAACGAGGTATCCCACATTTCTGACAGCTCCCGTTTCTCACGCGTGAATATGGCGAATCATCGTGCAGATGAAAAGCAATTCATGGACGAGCGGGGCTCTTCTGGACCCCTCGCACCCAACGGACTGAACCCGGCAACCATCATGGAGAAACCAGTCCGCGAACGTATAGTCGATTGCTATTTTTGGAAAGACCAATGTTTTGCACTGAACGAAGCAGATATAATCAATCGCGTCGTGGATCATGTTCACTTCATATGTGGTACTTATGGCGATGCGCAACGACCATCCCCATTCCTCTGTCTCGCATTTAAGCTACTACAGCTAGCCCCATCAGATGAAATCATACAAGAGTATCTTGGATACGGTGGTGAAAAGTTTAAGTATCTACGGGCACTAGCTGTCTTTTACGTAAGACTCACTAGACAAGCCAAAGACATCTACACTATACTAGAGCCATTTCTCGCTGATTACAGGAAGTTGAAAAAGAGAGGAAGAACAGCAACAACTTTGACTCACATGGATACTTTTGTTGATGACTTGCTTGTGAAAGATCGGGTCTGTGGTACCACTCTTTGGAAGATTCCAAAAAGAACAATTTTGGAAGATTTGGATCTTTTAGAGCCAAGAATCAGTGCTCTAGGGAGTATTGAAGATTTGCTTGAAAGTGATGATGAGGGCAGCATGACTCAAACTAGCAAAAAAGAAGAATAGCTACCGACTAGCACACAATTGTAAATTTATCAAGCCTAATTGACGAATAGACAAGAGTACGGCTTGGCTCGACTGGTCTCTATTCATACATATTTGGCTGGAACAAAAATAAATCAAATCAGATGTTTCGGATATTAACCCACGAATGTGATCCTCATTTATATTGGAATAAAAGAGCGGAAACAATCAAATTAAATAAATTATTAGAAAAAAGCTTTTCGACAGGTGTGCTAGCATCTTAAAGATAACCTGTAATCAGAGTTAGGTGAAGCTTGAAGAGAGGTTACGATATAATTGGGGAAGATAAGTGAAATATATTACCTAAAAAATTATCTTGTCCCGAATTGACCATTAGTGGGCCTAAAGAAGAAATCTAAGCGGAACACAAATAATTAATTATGTTAACGAAGACTAAAGTCAAGTCTGTGCCGAGGAGACATGAGTGGGGACTCGGAAATCTAGAAAGGGTTGAATTACTCGTCACATAGTTGAGCCACTATTACAACATATCGATTTTTAAGAGTACAAAGCTTCTTGGCAAGCAACAAGCCAGGTGGAATTTCTCTACTCAATCCAAGGAACTAATTCAAGTTTGTACATACCTATTATTTATTGAGACAGCTCCCTTGTCTAGTTCCGACTCCAAATAAATTTATACCCAACAAAGTCAGATTCGTCACATTGAGGCCTTGAAAAATCAACCGTGCATACACAAGGCATAATATCAGCAGATGAATTAAACATTTCAAAATACCAGGCATTAGATCTTATTAGACTTTATTCTATTGTGGATCCTAAAAGTAGCAGGCTACGTAATGTAACATAGACTACTAAATGCGATCAGCCTACGGTTAGTAAGCTACGCACAAAGTGTAGATTTCGGAGTTGGGAGTTAGGGAGACATATAGACAAATTTATTAGAACTCAAGCTTAACTATCGCGTTCTGGGGAACTAGCTGTAGTAGAGCCACGAGTTATATTTGTCGCCATCCTGTTTCAATTGTGATCGATCGAAACCCACAAAAATATATATTTTTATAGAGAAAATATCAATTGAAAAAAAACGCCAATTATCTTCACATTAATATGACAACATAATGGTAGGCCTCACAAACTTGGAGCTCAAATCCAAGTTGAAGAAAGCCACAGCCGACCAGATGGCATTTCAGGAAGACTCGACAAAGCAGTTCCAAAAATTGAGCAGGGACTTGGAGAAGTTCACGGAAAGGACGGATAATTCAATCCAAGAACTGACCGAAAAAACAAAATTGACTTTCATTGAGCTCCTGCAGAGGGCGGACAAAACTGACGATGCACTCTTGCATATGTTGCAACAACTCTCTGTCATAGCCAACGCAAAGACTACCGATAGTCCAGCTAACAACAGTCTACGTCCTATAATTACGTCAACTCAAGAAGTCCCACCATTAGATAAAGGCAAACAGAGACGACAGGTTTCGACCTCCAACCAAGAAGCCTCCTCTTCATCGGTGGCGGTGCCCAAGCCGGAATCACTGATACCGAAATTCTCGGGTGAGTTCCCACCTTCCACGCGAACTGAAATTCGAGCCTACGACAATTCATCGTCGACTCAAATTCAGTTCTTCAACGCCCCACCAACTGCAGTCAGCAACAAGTTCCTTGCCGACGGAACAATAAACCTCTATCAATCAATGAACCCCAAAACTTCAGGTCTTAGCGATCAAGAAATGCGAGTGAAAAGATATTTCCCAGATATTTTCACGCGTAAGGAAGCAGAGAACCCTAATGGCCATCTGCACGAAGCGACCAAAAGAAACAAGGCGATTTTCCCAAAAGAATAGAAACTGGCTCGCTAGTGTAGACACCGTGGAAAAACTATACCTAATGCAAGTCTGCATGGCGCAATCCATGTTGTCTTATTCGGCTTGGTCAATGAGGATAGCTTCAATAATGGACCATGACTTTATGATAGCTAGAAGAGCTATCGCGAACAGCTCTTTAGACTGGGTGAGCACAGTGGAGCTCATCCTGAATGTCCCGCACAACAATAATACCTCAAGCTCTCCTCTGACCACCTATGCCAAACTTAACGTCATCAACAGCGGGACAACGTTAGACTTTGCACGTCGTTTAAGAAAAGCCTTTTTCCTTCTCCCAACTAATATGGTAGTGGGACCCCAGGCTCGAGACACTCTAAGCCAACATGTCAGACAGTTCTTACTTCGGACCTGGTCCACAATCAGTTCTCGAGCCTTGTCCCTTTCAAACGAAGAATTGGCCGATGTCACGGTTTCAGTACAAAATGCATGAGCAATCTTATAGGTACAGTATGTTAATTATAATTCTCTAGAGAGAGAATTACTGTAGCTAGACTATAAATATATATACACTCTGAGATACTCTTCTATAAGGTTCACTTTATGACTAGAATAATATGGACTCCTCGACAATACCCTAGAAGATTCTTGATACACCTGTTCTCCTCATGAAACTTCACTGTGCTTCCAGAAGGTTCATTGAGAATCTTCTAAGCTCCTTGTGTTCCGAGATCCTTCCCGAAGATTCCCTTGCTTTCATTACCTGCGCTATCCAGCGTAGGCTACAGGAATCCTTCGGTTTAACAGCCGTTACAGCCGACCACATTATCCAATCTACCGAAGCTATTGCTCGCTGGCCGTATGAAGATGCAAAATTTCAGCGAAACCTCGATCTGACAAATCCAACTGTTGGAATTTGTTGTGATGGGCATGTAATTCAGCTAGGATACTGTTGGAAATGGAGACACGGAGTGTTGTGGACGTATGGGCTCTCCATTTCGTCTAGGTTCCCGACACGATCTCGTGTGTATTTAAGAGGTTGGAGTAGGTAATATGGCAGCGCTTCAGGCTACCTATTGGACATATGAGCGGCTGTATGGCTTGGGCGCAAGGAGGTTATTGGGGGTTTTCTATGCCTAGATGGCGCCACACTCGTTATTACTGTGGCTTAGGCTCTGTGTCGCTTACACTTGTACTTGTAGCGCACACTTCCCACACTTTTAGCTGTAATCCGAACATGACACTCTTTTAGTCAACTTCTACTTTCGTTCCATGAATATTGCGCCCATTACATTGCGCGATATTTCCAACAGATACCTGCATGTATACAACGTGATTAGATGTTTACGCTGTTTGTGTAGTTCCTGTATCGTTTGGAACATCTGCAGGAGGAAGCTCATATGGTCAAGAGCCGACTATCGGCTGCACATGAGTAGAAGTAGCGAGTGCTCGGCACACGATTAGCATAGAAAAATTAAGTACCGTGAACCTAAGATACACCTTCAACCACAACCTGAAACTTATCAATCTACATACTCGTACAAGATCAGCATGCATAGTGATACTAACATTAGCTCTTAACTATAATAGAATTGCACCATTTGCAGTTAACCAGTCAGTTATAGATCCTAGACTTCAGGAAAATAACGTGTTTCCAACTCATAATCAACTTGACGAAGGTAGAGAGTATGCAGTAACCGCTACAACGGTACCAATTTATTCCCAGCATACGTTCGTGAGGCCACCCAGTGAAAAGCTTATGGTACGACAGTAAAATAATATTGGAGCAGGATCGTAGAAACTTGAAGGACTGTGTAGGGTTGTAATGTTGAGCAATAAACTTTGGTGTGCTGCGGACAGCTCAGTTGGAGAAGGAGGATGATTTGTGGATGATAAATGTAGCAGGCTACGTAATGTAACAGACTACTAAATGCGGTCAGCCTACGGTTAGTAAGCTACGCACAAAGTGTAGATTTCGGAGTTGGGAGTTAGGGGGACATATAGACAAATTTATTAGAACTCAAGCTTAACTATCGCGTTCTGGGGAACTAGCTGTAGTAGAGCCACGAGTTATATTTGTCGCCATCCTGTTTCAATTGTGATCGATCGAAACCTACACTATTGTCGATTTAGTATCTATGTGTTTTTTATCACAGACAAAGGAAAAGATTTTAGTGTCAAAGCTAGTTAGGCTGCATACACTCAATGATTTTTTTTTTAAAAAAAAAAAAAAAAAAAGGGAAAAGATTTATGAGATTGCTTAATGTGAGGCTAGATTGCATTTCCGATACTATTTAATTGAAGAGTTTCCCCTACGATCATAGGCTACATTGTCTTTATATATCTACATATATACCCCCATATTCACCATATCCGCAGGCCATTCTAGATCTAGCGTGCACACCCTGATTCATCTTATAGTTCTGGGTCAGGACTGTAGTTTCCGATATGCGGCAGGCTCGGGGGTCGATCAAATAACCTTAAGACCCCATGAATACCTGGGATAGAAGCCTGCAACCTAACACAACTAGGTTAGGTATTACCGACTGGAGCCTAATCCAAACAGAACTAAAGCATAACTTATTACAGGCTGTATGGGGGACCGTTGCTCTAATGGGGCTTCACATTTTGAGGGAGGACAGGCAGCTAGGACGTGCGACGAACGCGTGAAGAGGTCACAAATGGGCATGCTTGAACGCACATTTTTCGAGTATTTTTGACGTTGGAGTGCTTGTGGACGCCGAGGCAACTATTCGGATGGTGCTGCTGACACTCTAAAAACAGGCAACGATGGAAGGTGTTTTGGTTCGCCCCCTGGCCGTCATCTCTCCGAATGAAAGTCTGGGTAGCCTGGATACCTATCTCACTCGTGAAAGAGTAGACTCTGAGGCCATGTCTTGCGCGGTAGCTATATACAAGATGGAAAAGGCATGCTAGAGTAACCAAAGATTTTTCCTGTTTTTCCTTTGATGGATATTAACGGTTGAGGAAAGAGTGAGAGTCCCTAGCACCTAGGTCTCGAGTGGTATCAGCGAATGCACCCACCATATGAGTAGTCTAAATGTCAAATTAAGATATAGTCTTGTATAGTCGTCGGGGAAGGAATAGCCTTTTCTGTATGATACTTCATGTGTGCTAGGGGGACTATTCTCATTACCTGTTAGTGGTGTCCCCTACGAAGCTCCAGCTCTCACTGTAGAG